TAAGGCCTTAGTTTTATTTTGAAGAATTCAATGCCTTTTAAGACTTTTTAAGGACCCGCGGGAACCCTGTATTGTATATCTTCTGTGCTCTATTTTAGTTGTTTTATTTTCATTTTTTCCATGCACACTTTCCGGTCTCCACCTCATTCTTTCTTACCTCTCATTCCTTCTCTGTGCCCGCTGTATTTGGTTTAACTCCCAAAATAATTTTCAATAAAATTTCATATAGAAGCATGGACCTAATGGCAATAAGCAAATCTGTTGGGCTACCATCAATCTCTAGGGGATCTATTCCCAGAGGTATTGTGGCAAAACGGGACAAAAAATAAATAAATACTGTATGTCAATGTATGTTCATGGTTTGGAGGAGTGCTATGATAAAGACTAAAGTGGGAAAAGGAGCCAACATATAACAAAGATTGAGATTGGAAGCATTATTATCATTCCCCTTTATCTGATCTCAACATCCAGGTTGGTCTATGGCTTCAATTTTACTTCTAGAGCTAAATCTGTTAAATGAGACAGTCTTACACTGTTATACCAATTATACATTATAATCTTGCTCAAACACATTAATGCAATTCCTTCTGATTTGTACTAAAGGTTAGCCCAAAAACATGGATCAGAGTTTATGTCAAAACACAAAAAGGTAAACATGCTGTTTGATGAAAGTAAAGATTCAAATCAACAAGCTTTACAGCGACATGTTAATACCCTGTCAGCTACCTTTAGAAACAGCATGTTAGTTCTAAATCATTCATTCAATGTGAAGGAATGTCAATCACGCTATGAGTAACTATAAGGAAGTCGACATAAATACACATAAATAACCATAAACAGGGTTCCTATGCAGCCTGGAAAAGGAGGAAAAACTAAAACGATGTAAACTGGATTAGTTTGAAGAAATAAAACATCAGTATGTTCATCAGTTCACTGTCAAACAAATCCTTCCACCTTTTTATATTCCATCCATCCATCCATCCATCCATCCATCCATCCATCCATCCATCCATCCATCCATCCATCCATCCATCCATCCATCCATCCATCGCTATAAAAATGTTTTTGCTATGCTTTAAGTAAATTGATTGGCTCTAGAAATCCGCTAAAGTTTTTGAGTCTCAAAAAGTACGCAACTTTGAATGTGTAGGAACCCCGTTCAACCACTCAGCTTGTCCTTTTTAAACTTAGAGTCTTAGACAGATTTATTTTGTCATTTTGTATACATGAGTGTATACAAAACAAACAAGTGTTAGTTGGGTCAAAAAGTAATCAACACAATATGAAAATCAAAAATAAACTGCCAGAAGTGGCTATAGTTCCAGTTGGATTAGTTATGATTATTAAATGAGGCACAATTCCCTCTTGTGAGCCACACCACATATTAACTAGCTTCTATGCTAACTGTGAAGCCGAGTAAGTAGGACAAATAGGTGAGACACATACTGCTGGACTTGCATACTCACTAATGGCCATGCTGGTGGCAGCAATAGCAGGTGGCATCGATGATGCAACTGAAAAATGGTGAAAACAGCATAAGACAGATGGGAGTCCTTAGTAGAGAAAGTGAAGGGCTCAGTTATGTTCAGAAACTGCAGAAATGTCACCCATGCAACAACTGCTGCTGCTTCGGATGTGTTTAAGCTTCTGATTGGAGATCGGCTACATTAGTAGCCATTCAAAATGTTCCCACTTTCTTTGATGGGCCCTTGGCTGGTTCCCTACAATTCCTTTTTAAACATCAATCTTTGTACTAAAATATTCTTTCTGCCATTATTTGCTGACATTAAGATCTAAAGAGAAGCATCATCTCCTGGTCAGACCCTGTAATTCAGTGAAAGGCTGGAGTCAGATTAAAAATATACTGCATGCAAGAGATAGTCACTCCAGTGGCTGGAAGTTGGAGGGGATTTTGCTGGGAGTTGGAGGGAAGTGGGCTGCCATTCGTCTGGCGTTTGACTGGGAAGGGCTATTTTGAATGGCTGCTACTGTACAGTAAGCTGCACCAATGTGTTTCAGTTTCACATCTTTAGGTGTGGTGTGATTGATTGTGATAGCTGTTTTTTATGAACGCATTTCAACTTCATTGAAACTTTGGCTCTATATATTGCTTAAAATTATATAATATATACAGAATATAATATAATATGGCTAAACTCAGTTGAGGTGATGCTGAAGAGTCGGTACACAAAAAAACAAACAAACAAAAAACAGCTAAGGATGTTTTCATGAAGGCCATATCTGCCATCATACCGGCATTATATATCCTGAATGCTGAAATTATATCATTCTTTGTACTGACTAAGCTGGGAATTAAGTTGAGCTCTTAAAAAATGCATCCCTGGTTTACCTACAATGCTCTCCGATTGTTTTTATTCTCTGTGAACTTCACATTTCATCAAAACCACAAACATTGTTTGCCCAAAATAATCACAAATACCTGAATTGAAAGGCTCTTACATTCCAAGCCTGAAGACTGTGGTGTGTGTTTGTATTCAGCTTATATGGCGTGATGCTTTGCAGAGCCATCTTTACTTGGTCAACTAGATCTACATTTACAACTGAAAGCCACTGCTCTATGTCTCTACCAAGATCACACATCTAGAAACTAAACTTTTGATTCATTCTCTTCAACAAAATAGTTCAAGTTCAGGCTGGTCTGCTGAAAAATTATTTCTTAACCTAATTCTTTTGGTCTTTTAAAAGACTTTTTCATTGAATTTAGGCTTGAAACTTAAATTTTATAATGTTCTTCTTGCTTAAATCAAAACTATTTCCTTGTAGCTCTGGCTGGATATTTAGGTTCAATGTTCAGTTGGAAGATGAGTCTCCACCTCATTTTCTAAAGACTTTTGCAGCTTCTGACAGTTGATCACTTAGTACTGTTCCTTTAATGCCTGTCATCCTGCCACAAGCTCTTTGTGCTTACCGAGTAGCAGGCTTAGACTGGTAATCTGTGATACCGGGCATTTGCCCGGTGAGCCAGTCCTAATTTCAGCGTGCAAGGGCCGGCCCTCCTTAAATCATACCGGCCCGAACACTTACTCTCGGCCAAAGCACCTACTCAAAGAAGTAATGCAACGTTAATTACTTAAATGATGCAAGCAGTATATATAGCCCTTCCTCGTCATGCACATCCTTGTGACGTTGGCATATGGTGTAATTTTGTATTTCTTCAAATTGTAAAATCCTTGCAACAAACTAGATTATAATAAAACTAAAACTTTCTTTAAACCAAACTACTAAGTTCCTCTTTTATTTGGCAAATTTATGTTTGAATATTTAGCAAAAATAAATTGCTGTGCATGATGGAGTTTTGCATCTAAAAGGATAACGTTTCCCGTGTTACGTGCAATGTTGCCAGGTGGGGATGTTTCCCAATCTGGCAGTTTAGCATTAACCTGACTCTGCCAGATGGATTTGCTCCGCATATCCATCTGGAAACCTTCTGTTGAAGTAATTTTGGGAAGGGGCGAAAATACTGGTTAGCTGATTGGCCTATGTTGGTGATAGACGGGCCAAATAAACCAATCAGATCAACGAAGCATATGACGTACTAACAGAGCGACGATGAAAACTTATTCTCGGCACTTTACGAC